AAAAAGTGCTTTACTAGCCTGTTGAGAAACATATTTTTGTGCCTGGTACCACTTTCCAGAACTAGAAAGTATAACCCCCAAATAATTATATTTTGAAACAATTTTAACTGAAAGACATATTTTTCCACAAGAGTACGTAAAATAAAAACATTATCTAATGTGCTTCTATGTTTCTGGAAACCTCTTTGTTCTTCCACAATTTCATTATGTTTTAACCAGGCATTTAACCTATTACTTAACATACTTGTATAAATTTTACTTATGAGGTTTAATAACATAATACTCCTATAATTACCGGGGTCATCCTTGTTTCCCTTCTTGTATACAGGCGATATTAATCTCCTATCCCATTCATCAGGAAAGATTCCCTGGTCAAATACCTTGTTGTATAAAACAAATAACATTTCATGGATTTTTATGGGAGCATTTTTCCAAAATTCTGTGGGTATACCATCTGGTCCTGGGGCTTTATTTGTCTTTGATTTACTTAAATTTTCCCTAATTTCATCCAAAGAAATAGGTCTATCAAATTCAGAAACATTAAATTGTTATCTTCTAAATCATCCATTTAGTTTTTGATTGATGCGAAAAACTCTTTGATTTTCGTCCTCCATCAAGGTTAGTGGGTTAAATAAATTATTAAAATAGTTAAATCATTCAACCTCTGATATACTGTCTGGCACATTGGGCCTATTAGATTTCAAACTCTTCCAAAATTGTTTTGAATTAGGTTGTATCGCCACTTTTAAAAAAAATCATCACGTTTTTTTCTGTGAAAATTAGTTTTCTTATCACGACCTAGTTGCCTGTATGAGTATTTAGATTGCAAATAATAGTCTAAGGTAGCCCGACTTCTACAATTTCTGAAACGATTCAATGCTTGAATGTTGAATACAACATTCCTTGTCAAACCAGGAGTTAAAATATGACCTGCCAACATAATTAGGTTTGTGCATCATATGTGTATTACAAGCATATATAATATCAACTAAATTATTTGCAGCCGTACTTGCATTTCCCTGCATAATATTATCATGGCAATCATGGCGCATCCCCTCAACGTGTTGTAAATTGATATTATTATAATACTTTGGTTTTCCCTTGGTGTCCCCACCTTAGTTTAGTAGTAGAATAATTGACACTATGCTGGAAGTCATTGACATTCGCAGAATTGGTAACATAAGCAAGAGATATAGCAAATTCAAGTGGCATATGATCAGAATCAATCCGAGCTCCAACTGTAAATACATTGAACAATGGAAACTCATTTGGAAATGACAAAACAGTCAACACTTGTCCCAAACTCTGAAATAAAAGTAAAATTTCCACTACCAGTGTTTTTATAAACTATTGATCTCATCCATATTTATTGATCTCATTATCCATCGACTCCCCTAGAGGTATATTATTATTTTGCTCTAAATCATCTATTGGCAAATACATTGTATTTAGATCAACACTATCACCATAGTTACCAGTTCTACTATTTAAGTCTCCTACAATTATGACATTACAACCAAATTTATTTATTTTTCATATGCAAATATTGAACCCTCGGGAGGCCTGTACACTGTTGCAAATACAAGTATTGTTTGATCATTGCTTATAATCCTAGACCAAACACAGTATGGATCTTTAGAAATATGCTTAATTTTAAATTGACCCGTGTTCTTTTTACGAGAAAACACCGAAATTCCACCAGAGGCTCTTCCATATTTCTTTCTTTTTTAGACCACTAACATGTAGTTGCTCATACCCTTCAATCTTAAAATCAAATATGGTACTCACCCAAGTTTCTACCAAATAAACACAGTCAAATGATTTTAAATAATCTACAAAATCATGATCAGCCAACTTTTCTATTAAGCCATTTACATTCCATACTAAAAACTTTAGTTCAGCGTCACTGCCCATGCTATTAAGGCCATGGCCAAATTCCTAGTCATTAACAGTACTTGAATTATTGGGAGCAGTAGGAGTTGGCATGGCCACTACAGATGCTCTATTGTGTGTCCCTTGCTGCTTTCGTAGTGAGTCGCTGGTTTCCAACGGCTTGATAGTTTCTGTTGCTTCATCAGTATTGTCAATTTTAATAATTATAGTTATGGAGCGAGGTGTGGTTCGCTATTTGTGGCAATACGTCAATGTAGATAAAGCAGTTGTCTTTACACGTATTTGAAGAAATGCTTTGCCGTACATTACAAAAACAAGTTCGTGTTGAACACGGTGTTCAGGCCCCCACACTCCATTACAAGATTGTATATGCGATAACGTAAGGATACAAAACGTTCAACAATTTGTTCAAATGTATGTCAATAAGTAACGTTGGCATTTTTTTAAATTGAAATACAGACCGTGATGGGCACCAATTGCATTACAACAAGTTGTTTTGAAAATATGTTAATTACATTCCAATAAGCAAGACCCTTCTAAAGGGCATTGTCCTATAACAGCAATAATGAACAATAGCGTAGCTCATTTTGTTTCCTGTTAAATGGAAAAGCAAAGCAAAAAAATGTTTTCTCCCCCCCAAAAAACTAGTGCAGCATACTGCATTTTTGTATTAATAGTTTATCCAAAATTTCTAAGCCCGGTGCACTTGGTGCACAATGTCAGTTTATATATTCAGAAAGCCAGTTGCAGGTGAAATTTCACCGTACATGGCAAACCTGAATGACGGACTAAGGAAATGCATCTGATTTGCATACCAATTGTACAAAACAAAGGGTCTCAAGTAAATTAGTGGCACGATTGGACATCTGTCTGTATAACCATGGAACATTATAGTTCCATGGTATAACGAACCTGAATAAATGCGAGTATGATACTCTAATCGGCCTACAAGCAACACCGACGAGACCCAGACGACCGAAAACTCTTTCCTTTTTTGACAATTTACAACTATTAATATAGTACTGGTTGTACGCTAAATTTACTATAGCATTAGCGATTTCCTTGAAACCCCAGTTAGATTCGAAGGCAGAGAAAAGAAAAGGTACAAGTCCATTGTGAATAAACTCGTATTGTGCAACAGAGACGGTAAATAAGCTACCCTTTCTTATCATCAGGCTGTGTTTACTTGTACGCCATCACTTAGCACCTTGAATTTGAATAACCACGCCCCCACAATTCTGCTCGTGACGCCTCGCGAAAGCCTTCAATATGTAATTTTATTGCACGTTTACGGAAACTTTTTACTGGGCACTTGAAAATTTCATGTTTCAACATTTTGTCCGCTTGTCATTTGCTAAAAAACTGGAGTTGATATTTGTGCGAGCCCCCCTCACGTGTAATTGCATCCCAAAATTGGAGGGACTGTACACATCTATCCCTTCATTTAATGGAATATTCAGAGGTACCACGCCCATTGAGATCTCGTATCGAAGTTGCAATCTCACCGTGTGGCACTGTAACCCACCAAACAATTAACACGAGTCCCCTTTGTCAAACATCAACTCACGCGGGAATTGCTTTTATTTATTAATCACAGAGTTGTATGGGAATTCATGCGTTCCCACCGATATTTACAGCACTACATTCATAAAAATAAAACATCAACAGACCAAACAATTAACTTGCCGCCATAACTTTATTTTGGGAACGAATTACAACATATAAATATACAATGATAGTATTGGCGAGATTGAAAACAAGGACGGTTCATGCAGGTTACCACGTCGTGTACATGCAAAGGACGCAGCCGAAGCTCAGTTTGTGACGTCATCCAGCGCCGGATGTTCCAATGGCGGGAAATTTGTCACCTGACATCAGTAATAGAATGTCGTACATGTACATTATAATTCAAGTTGAAACGGGGAATTGGATGAATGACGTTCATTGACTGATGTTCACCTATTTGTACAAAATGCACAAAGCGGCAGAATCAGAACTTTTCACGAAAAATCTTGCAAGATTTTAGATATATGTTACAAAAAGCAAGCCCCTTTGGGAATTCAAGCGAAACAAAAGGCGTTCGCGTAATAGAAGTTGTCCAAATGTTGAATTGGATGGAAAACCGCCAAACAAACTTCAAACTCATTGACACGCCAGCCTCGTTCAATTGACTCCGCTATCGTCAGCAGCTTTGTTGTCTGCTATCCTTTGAAAGTATCCGTGTGTACATTTCCGCTCCCATTGTGCTGACGACTTGAAAGACTTTTCATTCGATTCGAACTTAAATAAAATGTCCCCCAGGCAGACACCAGTGTTCGATCCAGGTCCATCCACCGTTCTGGCGGCGCTTTACGACCTAGAATTTAAAGTTAGATCACGATGTATGGAAATGGAGGGGGTGTTCCTTTATTATCAACACAGGGGTACAGGTACAGTTCACGTGAAAAACTAAACGTATAAATCATTAGGCTCAATGTATAAATTAAATGTCTTAGTGTGTAAAGAACTATCCCCACCATTTTCCCGTACACACTTTTCAAACCAAAATATCATAACGCGGCAAAGAATAATACATTTAAATAGTTAGCCAAAATACGCATCTCATCGGAATAGATGACACATCAGGCAAAGGCTAATTCAACCATTCCCATACTGCCTCACTAAAATGGCGACGCCATCGCAAATTTGCGTTCATATAGTCCCGCCCATACTAACATTCCTTCTACGCACATCGCAACATACTGAGAAGGCACCAATCCATGAAATATGCATGTACACATACGAAGCTATATTTGATTCTGGGTACCAGTAAACCAACGAAAAGGCAATATAAAACAAATGCAAAATAGGAAATATGTGATTGAACCAGTGACACGTGCTTGGCGAATTTGGGATCAAAAAACGTTTAAGAATACATTTAGACAAGAATTACCACGTGTTCATATGTCAATGGATAAATTAATAAAAACGCGTGTATACTAACATATTATTCTGCACAATTTCTACAATGATGCATACATACACTGTCGAGGTCATTACGCCATGTGCTTTCGTCATTTGAATCGAAGACTCCTACTTGTAAAGCACCCTCTCAGTTTGTGCTGGGCTGATTAGTGTAAACCACAAGCCCTTATCAGTTCTCCGTCCAGCTTCCCATGTCGGGCTGGACGCGGGAATGATAAGGAGTTGAGGAAAACGTCATCTTCTATCCGTCCCTCTCCTGTTTTGAAGATATCTACGTGAACCAACCCCACGACAACGTGGCATGACACAGTGACCAAAAATGACCAACCTAAGGAGACTATACTTAATGAAGTGCAAGCGGATATTGCAGGGTTTCACACCCTGAATGGACAAGAAACCAGACCGAGGCTAGATCTCTCGCAAGATAATGCCAACAGAAACGGAACAAAGCACATGAATTACGTCCTAAACAAAAAAATAACTTCCCCATCGAAATTTATAAAATCGCCCTTCCAGCTCAATAAACGATCATACATTGAGTAAGCTTGTTGTAAACGCACGCATGATACAGACAAATTCCACACAACAAAAACACAGCCGCCATGCCCCAATTCGTAAAGCAACGTCTATAGAATCAACACCAGCGATCGGTATAATAGACCTTCCCAAACTACGTACTATGATCACATGCATTCACAGACTGGGCAACTATCGATATTGTTAGATCATATACTACCTGGTTAAGGTTCCCTGCGATTTAACTACACCAAACCATTTTTGTCCTGCTAAAAATAAAACGATTAAAACCATGCTGCAATAACAAATGTGGCGATGCGGAAGTTTCGGTTCTCGGTTCACGGGCTTAGCTTCTCGACATAGACGTTAGCATACACATAGAAGTGGTACTCGTTCGTCATCCGGCGCTGTTTTATGGGCTGTGTTTGTACGATGTGTAGTTCTGCATACCTGTTAATGCTAGGTGATGGAGATATGTCCACTTTAAAGGGTCCTTTCGTGCTAGTCACACAGCGACATTATCTTGATGGACTATTGAACCCAGCCAACCCCGGACGGTGTTAAAAATTCCTAGACCAAATGAACAACTTAATCTCGCGGCCCGCCATGGAGTCGAGTGCATTGTAAAAATAGCCAAGTTGTTTGAATAATAATGGAGGAAAATTAAATACCATTCTATAGTAACAAGCGTCTACCAAAAGTCTTCGCAAACAAACAACATGCAAATATACAATAAAGATAGAAATGTGTTACATGCATACACTGTGCTGGAAAATACAAAAGTGAATTAAGTATGGGGACGGGAGAACTGAAGAGAGCAAAATTCTCGAAGAGAGCGTGGTCAGCAGAACTTGATTCCAGAGGGGTTGGGCGTGATGGTTGGTAGACATATTTCACATCACTCGACACTCCACAGTCGTTCATCTAAAGTGTGCTGATAAGCGACGATTAGACTGAAGGCAGCTGAACGAATGAGATTCCAAACTTCTACTTGGTTAGCTGGTTTCATCGCGCGGAATAAGACACTAGAGTAGTTCCAACAGTCGGCGCTCATTGATTAAAATATCCGATCCGCCCTGTTGCACTCTTTCAGCTAGGCCATTGTCCCGGTCTGTTTTTTTCAGTTATATGGAGATGGTTCTAACCAGTATGGTGCATCAATCGTGACAGCATTTTGAAGGCTGGCCGGACAGCGGTCGTCTTGTGAGTAATTTCATTCAGAACGCGTCTTGTTTCATTACTGAGTCATGTTTCAATACATATCCCTCGCTGCTTGAACGACCAGAGTTGAGGCACCTCGTATGTTCTACGGCGACTAAAGTTGAAAAGTCGGAACTTCTATTCACGCCCTTCACTGCACACCGGACTTTCGGCGTTTTGTACCGCCCATGACTTCCATGGTTCCACCCAGTGCCGGAGAACTGGCTGTAATTTGCTGATCCGTATTTGCATACAAATTTACATAATACATTCAGACACTGATTTGCCAAGTTTATCTTTTCACGTCCTTCCCTGCCTCGCCATTACGTTGCCAGGGTGATCGGTGACCTTTACCGCAAACTGGCGCAAAAAAAACAGCATCTACAATGAAAGAGAACATTCAGAACAGACTTTGAACAATCAGACTATTGTCTAAAGCAAACATACCGTCCTTGTTTTTCTTTCATTCATGCATACCTTTTTTTGAAATCAAGGTATGTAAAGGGCAATTCTGACACATCTTACAGTTCACTCTGGCACACGCATCACGATATGAATGGCAACCATGCACACATGAGAATATTAATTCATTCAAATAAAATTGAAAACTAATTATCAACAGACTTATAATATTTGTCCAGTTTTCAGATCGGAATGTGCTGTCATAACAACATAATTACAGAACGCAAAGCATAGTAGAAAAATTCGACGATTAAAGATATGAAAAGTAAATAACTTAAACTTTGCAATCCACACCTGTTTGGCACTAAAAACAAGTCATACAAGTGATCTATGAACCAAGGTATATCAACATACCACAGTGGAAATCATAAATAAAATGGTTAAGCAGGTGTATCTATGGAAAAGTTCACCACGTCTAGGAATGCTCGGCCAGTGGCGACTGTTGTTTTAAGTTTTATACGAGACTATATGAATTACGACGATCCTCTAATTTTGTCTCATCGCCATGGTGACTTGTACATCTGTCGAATGACATTTCACAGGACCTATACAGTATAATATTAAATATAAAGTCAACATTACGAACTGCGTCAATGGGGCTAGCGACTATCTATAGGTTTCAGAAGAAAAACAACTTTCAAATGGAGAGAAAGGCGTCAGTGGAACTCACCTGTACGTGAAGCTGTCGCAAAATACCCTGGGATTTGCAATGTTGGTTTTGGGCTATAGCCAATTGACTTTTTGACATGCATATTGCATGTACGAACTCGAAAAACGTATGTCCAAATGATAGAGATACTATCAACTTATACGAGACCTGTCAACGATGGAACTCGTTCAACCAATCACTTCGCGGGGGTTACGGATTGCCCTGCCCCAGGGAAAAGAGGAAGTTAAAACAATTGCAACTATTTAGAGGGCATCTAGGCCATGTCGTTTGGAAATAAATTCGTCGTCCTCAAAAAAAAAAAAAAAAAAAAAAAAAAGAGGCGGTGCTGGCAAATTGTCCCCTCAATGACGACCGGAAGAAATAGTGATTTATTAACCATGTCGAAATATATGTAAACAGATACAACCATCTTTCGGTTTACTCGTGCAAATATCGGGGCCCGTAAAGATGCGATAAACACCAATGGGGTTGAATTGTTGCTACTTAATGGCGCTTCTCCAAAACACCCCTTAGATAAAAGATTGTGGTGATACAAACTTAGCCGTGGCGTGACAAATTACACAGGTTAAGAGGCGCCTGCATTTTTTTCATAAACAACGCCAATGTTAGTCGAATTCTAGGAATTTACACTATATACATAATGACCCTTGCTTTGAACGACGACTTTCGTCAGATCGACCATATATTCAGGGACTGTGGATTCATGCACCCCATTCACGCTCACGATGGCCAGCGCGCGTGTGTGTAAGTGTGCGTGTGCGTGGAGGGGGGGGGGAGTGATTTGAAGCTCGTAGAAAAGTAGAAAAAACGACCTCTGAATGACATAGCGTGTGATACGTGCACAGGAAATAAAACTCACCTCAGGGGTGTCCGAATGATTTACCTCGGAAGAAAACGGCAAGCGTGCCTACAATAGAGGGGCCTGGAGCTATAGCATACCTGTTCTTCCGTCGGAATATTGGGAATTAATGTCCCTAACTCAAGTCTGCGCGATCCAAAACACGTATGTGCCTAGCTTGACAACATCATTTAGGCATATCTACAGTTACTGATTTTGAACAATCACAATACTCGAACAGTGTGGCCAACGGGCAACACTTTTTAAATGCAACCCAACGAACTGACCTTTTACCTGTTGACAGACATATCACGCTGAGAGTTACACGAGTTCGTTTGAATACGAGGCACGTTTTTACAATTAGACTCCGTTGAGGGCGGTATTGCACATTCAACGACCGACTCCGAATCGTTGAATTTAGCTCGTGTATTTTTGTGTTTCCACCATTTTCCATGTGATCGACCAGGCGATCTATATTCAACAACTGAAACATAGAAGTTTATCGAAAGGACACCCACAACTGAGATGTGAAACACACAATTATCACATCCGGGTATCGGTTTGTACAGCAAGCGACCGTAAATTGAATGTAATTGAAAGAAATTATCTATCGAATTTCAAAATCTAGCAGTAATAATGTACAACTCTACTCAAAAGTAAATATAATATAATTCACTTGAAATATGTCCGACATTACATTCACGGGGAAGAAAATTTATGTAAAATATGGGGTGATAGTGGGATGTTTTGTTTTATCACCGTTTTCTATGCAAATGATATTACTCAAGGGAACCTATTCTCTGGATACCCACAAAAAGGATTACAAAATTTAAGAAACGCGTTTGCAAACGGAAACACTGCTAAAGTGTCATTTTATACATGTTATTTGTCTCAACCAAAAAAAAAAAAATCCTACTATTGACTAGTACCAAAATGATTACAGACCGCGTGTTGACGCAAAATGGTGCCACTGCTATATACGCTAAAATACTCATGTCAAAAAGCGAGTGCAGTAGCTAAAAAA